AAATCTTAAAAAAAAAGACACTTTAGTAAGAAGAGTGGCACCAGTGTGCATTTTTACATTTTTTTAAAAATGTGTGACAATAGAAGGCAACTGAATTCTTTTATGTGCTTCTGCATTTAACCAATAAATCAAATTTGGGTTGAAGTATGTGAAGAAAATCTGGCCTTGCACAATTAGAAAAGTGAAAGTGTCTTAGGACCCTAGAGGCCTTCAGAGCAAAGAGAAGCACTGGGCCAGGGCTGTAGAGCTGTTCAGCGGTCTGGATTTAAACCTCAGATGTGCGGGCAAATCCTTCTGACCTCTCTGTGCCTCAGTCTCCTTGTAGAAAGGAGTGACTTACTTCCGGTGAGGTGGTGAGGGCAGTGCTTGGCATGCAGCAAGGGCCCAGTAAAAACATTGTTGATTAGCTCAGAGCCAGGCACTGGCAGAGGCTCCCTTTCTTTCTGGGCCAGGCAACCCCTCAAAGATAATGTTGTGTCTCACAAGAATGGTCTGGGGGCCATGCTCTCCAGGGTTACCACTCAACCTTGCTCCCCACCCAAAGGAGACACAGGCTGAGTCCAGCAGTTGTCCGGTGCTTCAGCTTGGGCCGCATGTGCTTGCCATGCTCTGGCACCTCGGACAGGGTGTGCCTACGTCAGGCCAGGAGGCGCTCCTCCCCAGCAGCTGGTGGTTAGGAAGTCACTCTTCATAACGGACCAGGCCTAATCATTCTGTCGATAATTACCAGGCCCAGAACGTGCCCGCGATTCAGGAAAGATGATCCCGGAAGACAAGAGCCACTTAAATCCTGGCATTGACCATGGGTCCCCTTGGTAACCTGTAACTCTCAGCGCAGTTTAGCCGCTGAGCTAATTGATGTTCTCCAAGGCAGTCAGCTCGCACCCAGCGATCGAAATGGACTCTAATTGCCAACATCCTTCAGGTAAGGAAACCCACATGTTTCCGTGTCACCCAAGAGGCCCGAGCAGGAACTGAGTCTCTAGGCAAACCAGTCCTCTGATTGCATTTAATTAATCAAAATAAGGCTCGCAGAAGGAATTAATTAAAGAACATCTCAGAGGAAGTCGTGACATCGGGCCGTTTCACAGCAAAGCAGGACTGGCGGCCTCGATGAATTCGTGAGAGGCAGCGCCTTCCAGAAATGTTCCTCAGTCTTTAAAAGCTGCCTGAGCAAGGGATCGTGGGGGGAGAGGAAAGACCATTGAATGTGGGGTCTTACAGAACTGGGGTGAGCCCCGTGGCCCTACCCACATAGAAATGTGTGGCCTCAGGCAAGTCATTTGAGCCTCTGAGCCAAGACCTTCTCATCTATAAAGTTGGGGTGTAGATGGTGGGTGGAAAGTGCCTGTGACGGGGCCTGCACGCAGTAGGTTCTTGGTGGCACAGTGCCACAAAGGTGAAAACTGACACCTGCAGAGGGCCACCTGGTGTCCTCCCAGGTGTTTTAGAAGGTCAGGTAGTTGGGTAGAGGTGACACAGGGTTGCTCTAGCTCTCAGCTCTGTGGCCACCCGGGGGCAGCATCACAGGTAGACTGCATGGTGCCCTAGAACTTCAGGGTTTGCCCCACCATCTACCTCGAAGGCTGGGGAATCAGGCTGACCTGGTTTTGAATCTACTTCCATTCTCGTGGCCTTTGTTTCTACACTCCACAAATGTTCCCTGAGCACTGACTGTCCGTCAGGGACGGTCCGGGGGTTGGGGAAGAGCGATCACGGCCTCAAGGAACACAGAGTTTGGTGAGCGAGGACTCATGTATGAAAAATCACCCAGTGAGGCTGGCAGATGCCTCTGGTAGCTCCCCCGTGCCTCAGCTCTCACCTGGGCAGGATGAGGTGTGGGGTCATGGTTCTCCCTGACCAGGGCCAGCGGGAAGGACCAGGGAGTAAGCATCCCCAGGAGCAGCCCCCAAGCCCTGATCCATGGTGTAAAGGCAGGACACGACCACAATGCAGGTTTTCTGATCCCATACAGACCGGGTAAAGGAGGAGTCAGAGTCCTCAGTGGTTTTACAGGTTTTTTATTGGGGTTCACAAGGCATATGGCAGGCAGGGGTGCTGGCTGGGGTGCTGGGAGACCTGCCAGCAAGTCTTCACTCTATCTGGGCTCTCTAGCGTTCGTTCTGCTGCTTCTCGGCTTCTCCTTCGGCTTCTGCTTCAGCTTCTACTGCTGCTGCTGGCGTCCCCCCGTGACGCCGCCCTTAAAAGCACAGTCTCAGCTCAGCTGAATCCCATCTACCTATGCCCACACCCTATTCCAGGTGCCCGCCATCAGGCATGCATTCAGGACAAGGATCCATCATGTATCCTGATGGCGAAAGGGCAGAAAAGCCTGACATTTTCTTTACCCTACACATGGGAACCAGAAGAAAACCTCCATTTTCCTCTCCTTGTCAAGTAGGGTAACAGGCTTGTTCTGCAGTTTCCCAGGGGTCTGGCACAACCGAGCCCCAGGTTCCCACAAAAGTGAGCAATCCACCCTCACCCCCTTCCCCTCCCAAGTCACAGCCTCACACCCAGACGAGGGTTTCCTGGAATCACCCTCCAAGTCAAATACCTTCCCTGAAATCCTCTTCTCGGGGTCCAGCACTGGGGGCACCCAGCTTAAGACAGCTGTAATTGCAGCTGAAAACGGCAAGGAAGGAGCAGGAAGCAGTGGTGCTTCCCAGCCAAGTGTTGCCTAAAGCAACAGCTACCAGCCATGGAGGAGGGGAGTGACCAGGATTCAGCCAGCCAACAGAAAGCAATTCAGGAATGCCAAGTGAGCGCTTGGCTCCCGTGGCCCCACAGCTGTGCCAGATCCATGACCCGATTGACTGATACCTGTCTGGCACCAGCTGTTGAATATCTTTAATATCACTCCTGGAGTGAGGAGCTTATGACACTGTGAAAGGGCTTGGAGCACAGACTTGCAGATGACACCACAGAAGAGACCTGCCAAGGAAATCTGTTTCCTCTGTCTCCAATGAGGAAGGGAAGGGAATAAGACAGAGTTTAAGAACTGGGACTACTATTCAGCAATAAAAAAAGAACAAGCTCTTAAAACCTGCTCTATCATGGATGGCCATCAAAGACAATTAAGCTAATTGGCTGCCACCAGGCCCAGATGAGGAGCCTGAGGCCCGGGCTGGTTTAACCATCCCTCTAGGGCTGAAGCCACTGCCCAGACCCTGTCCATTCCAGCAGCTGGTCCTTACACTCACAGGGATGGGGAAACAATGAAGTGGCCAGGGGGGTGGGGTTCCCACTTGTCACCTGCCCCCCCACACACCTCTCCTACCGATCAAGTGCAAGAGGAGAGGATCAGGGCCTCCCCGGTGGCAGAGCGGTTGAGCGCTTGGTTGCGAAGCTGCCCGCAGCCTCTGCAGGGCCGGTTCGATCCCCGGCTGCTCCCCGGCCACCGGAGGAGGGTCCCACATGGCGCCCAGACCTCTCCTGCCGCCCGCTGCTCCCCTCAGCAGTGTACTTCGGTCCTTCTGCCTGCTCTGCTCCCCGCTCTGGCTCTGGTGAATTCTCTCACCCTCCTGCGCTTCTGACTGTACCCAGTGCTTGTATAAATAAATAAATAAATAAATAAATAAATAAATAAATAAATAAATAAATAAATAAATAAATAAATAAATAAATCTTAAAAAAAAAAAAAAAGGAGAGGATCAGCTGGATTCTCAGGCAGGTGCTTCACTTTTCCACACTTGAATCAACTTTCCTCGCCTGCGTCTCGGCATGAGCATGGCCTCCCCCTGAAGTCAGAGGCGGGGGTCAGTGGGACGTGAGGAAGCTCATATTATTTCCATGAGGGCACCCGGAGCGCATCTCTGAGGTGTGGGACTCTTGCCAGGACCCACTGGTCCTGAGGGTGGCAGTGGGAGTGTAGAAGGCAGCCTGATGGGGTAGAAAGTCAAACCCGAGGGAAGGCCACATCTGCCTGCGTCACATAGCTCAGGCCAGAACCTAGCCTCTGAGATGGTTTCCTCTTCTGAAAATGGGGAAAATCAGAAAGTCCATCAAATGCTTGATACTTCAGCAGACTTGGGGAATGCTGATGGAAATGACGGAAGTAAATGCATCTGATAAACCCCGTCTTCCTCTGTCCCCGCCCTTACAGAACTATAAGCTCCTTGAGAAAAGAAGCTGGGTCTCAGCCATCCCCTAGCCGCTCTTTCCTCCTTCCAAGAAGGTGACCAAAAGCAGTTTGCGGAAAAGCTGAAAACGCCATACATCCACCAATAGAGAGTGTTCTGACTGCGTCAGAATGTAAGGTCGGAGGAAATTTGTGAATTTGATTAAGTCAGAGGTTGCAAACTAGCAGTGAGGGGGCCAAGTTCAGCCTCAGAACTTTCTTAACCTTTCCATACTTTTGTTTCCTTATTAGTAAATTAGTGAACATCATAATAATACCTAGGATTGCTATGGGGATTAATAGGATTTTTATAGGGAAAGTGCTTAGGACAATGCCTGATATATAATGTGTTGTGTATGTCATCATCATCACTGTTGTTGCTTTGAGGATTTAAGTGTCTTCATGGAGCCTCTTCAGTTTGCCCTAGTCCTCACCATTCCCTCTTGTCCTATACCCAGACTACCTGCCTCTCCAGCCCCAGAAGACTCCTGGTTTGAGTCCACAGCCTGGTCCTTTGTCCTCATCAAGTCTGCCAGATGACACAGACTGCTGAACCATGGAACCATGATGATTACAAACCTGAACTAGACCAGCCCTCACCAAACCAGGCCAACTTGAGGCCGGAGCCAGAGCTCTCAGACCTGTGACTCCACCTCAGTTAACGGTGTGCCTTGCGGCAAGCCCTTCCTCTTCTCCAGGCCTCAGTTCCCCCAGGTGTCAAATGGGCTCCAGAATCCCTTTCCACACATACCATCTCGGGCTCCTGATTCCCTCAGCAGATCTGGGGAGCTCTAGTCCTGTACCCTCTCAGTGCTGAAAAGAGAACCCCCCACCCCAGCTTACACAGAACTGCAGCCAAGAACTCAGAGATGATCTCAATGAATGTTTTATTGTCGTTAGGATGATTATCATTGACAAGGGGAGGTGTACAGAGGGTCATATGTTGTCATAGTCCCCACACATTTATACCCACAGCCCCCACCAGGCACAGCACCTTAGGGTATCTTCACTTACAACGCTTCCCTCAAGTGGACCACACAGCGGCATAGAACTCTGCCCACCCACGAAAGGATGCTGAAGAATAGGAGCTCCTGGGTTCTAGGGGTGAAGTCTACCTGTGGTAAAGCTGTGATTTGGACATCACAGCTGTGACTCCGCCAACCCTCACTGGCTGCTCGTCCCTTGGAAGTCATCTTAACCAGACTGCAGGAGTGGGGAGAGGACTCAGGGATTTGCCCCTTGCCAGAGATGCAAAGTGGAGTATATGGGGTTTTAACTCATATACTGATTTCCTCGTGTCCCTGAAGGAGGGCGCAAGGCCAGGGGTTGGTCATGTGTACACAGGGGGCTCAGGTTTACGGCCAGGGAGTGAAGGAGGAAGGAATAAAGGGGCCACAAAGGACTGACAGGGCCCATGGGCCCATGACATTCTTAGGTGCCAAACTTGACTTTACAATCATGGGGCTCACTGAGCTAGGGGTTCCCTCAGCAGGGCTGCTCTCCGCCCGGGGTGCTGCCGCTTCTCCTCGGCCCCCTGGCTCCTGCTCAGGTCATCTAGCAGCCCCAGCAGAAGGCTGGCTTGACCACAGGCTTGCCAGGGCCCGCATGAGCCCCCTGAGGCCCTCTTCCCCGGATGCTGGCGTTTCTCAGGCATCGGATCTCCCCCCTCTTCCTCTGCCTCCTCCGCCTCCTCTTCCCAGCCCTGGGGCTTGGGCTCTGCCAGCCGTCTGCCCGGGTGCTGCCTCTTGGTCAAGATGTCCCTAAGCCAGGCGGAGCGCCGGCCAGGGTGCTGCCGCTTCTGCCGAGTGACGTGGAGGGGCCACGCAGAGGCAGCCTCCCGCCGGCCTGGGTGCTGCCGTTTGTGGGGCCTGGGTGCTGCCTCTCCTTCCTCCTCCTCTTCACTTCCCTCTGCTGCCTCCTCCTCCCTTTTGCCGGGATGCTGACGCTTCAAGAGCCAGGTGGGTTGAAATTGCTGAGACTCTGGGGAAAGAAAGAAGCCAGTGAGGGTCCCCTGGTGCCGGACACCCACCCCAGCTCCCCCCAGGGAGGCAGCCTCACCTAGAGTCCTGGCCTGGCACCTGCCTCTCAGGCCCCACAGACATACTCACACACGGGGTCAAGGCACTGCTTCTGTTGCCAACGCCTGCTCTGCCGCTCCCTAGCTGTGTGACCATAGCAACTCACTTAACCTCTCCGAGCCTGTTTTCTTCTATGTAAATCGGGGTAATAGTGGTACCTGTCTTAGAGGTTGCAGGCAGATCAAATGATGTGACACCAGTTGGAAGTGCTGCCAAGGGTGCCTGGCCTATGGCAGTGAGTAGTGATAAAGACCGTCACACACAGGTTCTGCCCCGGGCAGGATCTACCCCACGGGAGGTGTGCACTGTCAATAGTCCCAGGGCTGAGATGGAATAGTCCAGGACTGAGGAAACTGACCCCAGAGAAGGACCAGCTCAGGACTCTGCCCAGGGTGTGGCTAAGCAGTTTCTGACTTTGTAAAAGGCAGGAGGCCGGATAACCAAGTCCCTCCCCTCTCTGCGACTGGTCTCCCCCAGTCCCTTTCTGAGGCCTCCTCTGCCTCACCAGAGGAGCCTGGGAACTCACCAGGTTCCTGATCCTGCGGGATGGCCCGCAGCTGCTGGAGGTCTTCCCGGAGCTGAAGAAGGCGCTCAGCTTGGCGCAGGAGGTCGTCCAGACCAGGGTGCTCGGAGATCACCGCCACCTCCTGCTCGGCCAAGTCCGACTGTGTGTGGCCACCAGGGACGCTGGCCAAGGTCAGGGTCAAAGCAAAGGCGAGCAGCAACCAAGGGCCCGGCATGGCAGCGACTGGGGTGAAGCACAGAGAGAGCTTAAGCGCACCCCTCCACCACCGCTCCCCGACCCCAGCCTGCTTCTCCCTTTTCCAGCTCCAAGGACCTGGGTACCTGGGGAGAGGGGCAGCGACAGGATCTGCCCGGGACTCTGGGTCCACACCTGTCACCTCTGGGCGTTCTGACCATAGGGGTGAGCGCAGTGTCTACCCATTCCCAGTGCTGCCTGCGCAAGCCAGGGTGTGGTGGAAACCCCATCGCCACGGCCTCTCCCAGCGCCCCCCAAACCCCCCCCCGCCCCCACCGAGTTCCGAGCCAGCCCCGCCGAGGTGCTAGTAGATTTCCCCCAAAGTTCCCATCGCAACATCCTAATCTCATCACTCCTGCAGTGCCCTGTGCCAAGGCTGAGGTTTCACGTCCGAAAAATGCTGTCATTCGGATGCCAGGTCCACTCCAAGGCTGCAATTCCACGCGCAGCGCGAGCTAAGGCTCTAAGGCTAAGATGCGATTCCAAGGCGAAAATTGGGTCTCGAAGGCCGGGACCTGGACTCCACGCCCAGGCTCGCAGGCAGGCGCGGAGCCCGCCGAGCTCTGCCCAGCCCCGGGCGCGGACCCGGCGGGGCCTCCGGGCGGGCACGGGATGGCGAGTCCAGCCTCGGCCGCTCGGGCTCCGGCGCTTGGGCGCACAGGTCCCCGGACCGCGCCGCGGAGGGCGGGGCTCCAGCGGGGCGCCCTACCTGCGCCCGACGCGGCTCCGGGGGGCGCGGGGGGCCGCCAGCCGCCGCTTGTCCCGGGGCGCGCAGAGCGCGGGCGGCGGGGGCTCGGGGTCCGCGGCTCCGGGCGCCGCCTGCGGGAGGAGAGGGGCCGGGGCGGTTACCTGCCGGGCGCGGGCTCCGCGGGCGGATCCTGGGGCTCCGAGTCCGGGCGTGGGCGGTGGAGCCTGCGGCTCAGGAGTCCGGAGCGCTCGGAGGACTCGGGGCGCTGCCGGTTCCTCGGCGGGGCCGCTGCTTATATCCGCGCGGGGCGGCCGCGCTGGTGAGGTCAGCTGGGAGGGCTCGCGGCTCCTGGGCACCCCACCCGCCCGCCTGCGAGCTCCTCCGGAAACCTGGGGTGGGGTGGGAGGGGAACGAGCAGGCACCAGCAGCAGGATGGGGTGCTGGCTGAGGGGTCGCTTCTGCACCAGCTCCCAGAGTCTGTTGTCTAAGAGAACATTCGGTAGGGGACAGAGGGACGGAGAGGTACGCAATTAAATAGGAGATGGAGAGGCAAAGACTGAAAATGTGGGGTCTGGGGGGCAGGCACAGGCACACATAGCCACACACACCAAAGATAGGCAAAGAAAGGGGGGTGGGGTGAGGGCAGAGGACGAGGGAGAGAGTAGACATGTGGCTCTGTCACCTCTGACAAAGGCGCCCCTTCTCTGGGCCTCAGTTTTCTCGTCTGTGCAATGGGGAAAGAAGCAGTTTTTCAGAATTCCAAAACTGGTGACCTGTGCGCTACCACCCTTTCAGAGAGTTGTGATTCCCTTTGGAAAACATCTGAAAAAGCAACCTTTAAACACCAGGAGAACTCAAGGGGGATAAAAGAAGGTAGATGTATGACTCTTAAAAGCCTCCTGAATAAGAGTGGGCCTGCATTTCCTCCTGTGGGTGGCCTTCTGAGCTGAGCCTGGCTGCCCTGGTCACCACACTCCCTTCCACTCCCTACTGTCTCCCTGCCTGTCATCCCAGTCACGGAGGAGGGACCCTGGAGTTTGTAGCCCCTGGATCAGAAACTTGTTGGAATCCACTCCACCCAGCAAAGGAGGGGAGGGAATGAAGGAGGAGAGAAGCATAGATGCCAAGAAATTGTCTCCAACCAGTCCCCAAAGTCATGTAATGCCTTGGAAGAGAACACTGTCACATCTAGTGCTTTGCATTCTCCACCCTGAAACAGTTAGTGTGTGCCCCTAAGGACAGAGCAGTTAGCTAGGCCCTCTTAGAAAGAATCACATTTTAGGAGCTGAGGGAATATCCGTGAAGGCACCTCCTACGTTAGGACGGTCCACATTAATTGTCCTGCCTCCCCCTATAATTTCATCAGCCTAGAACTTTAACTGAGTGCCTGTGGCAAGCCCCAGACCATGCTTTTCCCCAGGGATGCCAGCAGTGTTCATGGATCACTCCTTCCCTTAGCAGAGCACCCACTGCCCTTGGCACAGCCAGCATCTTGCTCTCCATGCGCGGAGATCAACAAGGTAGACACTCTTGGTCCGACTTCACAGAAGAGAGCACAGATCCCTGGGGAGGCAGTGACTTTTGAGGTTAGAGGTGAAAGGGTATTCTCAGATCACCAGGTAAAGACACCTCTCCTTGACCTCAGACGGAGAGACGGCCACCGGGAGAGGTGGCCTGGTCAGTTTCCCAGCTTCTGGGCTGGGATGGATGGAAATCTCAGGCTTGCTCTCTCAGCCAGACTTCAGGATTTGAAGAATTGCCCTCCTAGCTGAGCATGAATTCTTTTAAAAATATATTTATTTAATAGAAGAATGGGGTATAAGCCAGAGGTGCGGGGGATGAGTGGATTCACCAGAGTCAAGAATGGGGAGCAGAAAATGTGGCTCTACTGAAATACACTGCAGAGGGGAGCAGCAGGTGAGACAGAAGAGGTCTGCTGTGCCATATGTGGGTTAGCTCCCTGGCCAGGCCCCTGTGGTGTTAGTGCAGAGACTTAACCCTCGGCCACCAGGGAGGCCCCAGGATCTTATTCTCTTTTTTATGGAGCTGAGAGTTCAGTCATTTTTTTTGCATATATTTTCCTAGCTGGCTTTTTTCTCTGATGATACAAATATGTTCGGTTCTCCAGACTATTGTTGCTTACCAGATTAATACACTATGCTTTTCACAATGAATAATGGGATAACTGAATGGTGAGTTTGCACACCATTTCTAGCTTCCAGTGTCCCCACAACACACACAATCTTCTTGTAGGAGTCTGTTGAGCCCCAAGGTAGGTTTTGACTTCCAGACTCTGCCTTCCCCTGTCCTTCTCTCTCCAGGCCCCCCAATCCCTATTCAGAGATGCCCCACAGATATTTTGGAGACAGTAGGTCAGGACTGGGAGGGTGGACACCAGTTCCTTCATGCCCTGAATGTCTTGTCCCATTTAATTCACACATCTTAGGAGATCAGAATTACTTGAAACCGGAATTCAAGAGGTGACGTGCCTCATTCAGTCACAGAGCCAGGAAATAGAATTCAGACTTGAACTTGGCTCTGTGTTATCACAAGGCCCTTTCTACCCTCTTTGCTGGAAGGGATTATGCCCACTGAAAGTTGCCCATGCATTAGGATGGTGGTGGATATGGAAGTTTTTTCCCTTGGCAAAATTTTCTTTTACATTTTGATTACATCTTTCCCCTAAATTAAAGGAATTTTTATTTTTAATAGAAAGTATTTTGAAGGAATCGATACCTGAAGCCACCCTTCAGAGTCTGATGTTACAAAGCTGATGCTGGAAAAAGAGTGAGACTCTGACTTTGGCATATGTATCAGGAAGCTTATCTTTCGGTCATCTCCAGGGCACAGATGCTAATTCTGATGAGGATGAGGACGGAAGTGCTTTGGGTGGGCCAGGGTGGGGGCAGGGTAGATGCCAGCGAGCCAGTCACTGGCAGATCATCTGCCGACTCTTCATCAGGCCCTCCGGAGATGACAAACCCCCCTCCTCCCTCCGCCATCGCTTTTCTTATTATGGGAGAAAAATGAAAACCAACTGCAAATCACCACAGCCATTTAGGTATATTTATCTTGCTGTCAGCCACAAGTAGGATCTGTCCCAATGTTCCAGGCTAATTAGAAGTTGTCCTCGGAATAGATGCACCCTGAATATTGCAAGTGGGGGAGCAGGTATTAATCTGTCACTAACCCGGAACCGTGAGTCAGGGAGACACAGGTGGTAGGGGAGGGACCTGGCAGGTGCTGATGGAGACCTTCCGTTTGGCCCAAGCAGGCGCCACTGTGCCCTTGGGAACCCACAAGTGAGTCTTGAGAGGATGTCGCGCGCCTTGACCACCATGTTCATCCTTTGACTTCCAGTCATAGAGGACCCCTCTTTCCTTCTGGGGAATCGTCTTGTGTGACCTTGATGGGATAGCAGCCCCTTTGCCCACCCTCAGTGCAAGGGTCACAGCTGGCCCAAATTTGGCCCATAGAACCCCCTGTGTCCTAAGACTCACTCTTGAGAGCAGGGGTGACAGCACAGAACGATAGCACTGGGACAAGATGGCTGAAAAGTCCCTGCTTCCTGGACCCTTGCAGGTCCTCCTTTTGACCTTGCGCTTGAGACCTTCACCTCCCTGCTGAGCAATACATCCCCCTTTTCAGCTAAATTAATTAGAGCTGGGCTCTGTCGTTTGCAGTCCTGATGGATAAGGCCTCTCTGTACTGGGATTTCGTGAAATCCTGGCTGTGATTTCAGGCAAGATAGATAGAGGGGGGTCAGGGGCTGGAAGAGGAATGCCGAGGACTGGCAAGGGTAAGGGGAGACTGTCGGGTCAAATGGAGATCAAGGACAACGAGAAAAAGAAGAATCCCACATAGGGCCCCAAGGATATACAGAAATATTCTCTACAGGATCACAGATAATTTTCACAAGAAACTTGAAAGTCTTATTCTTATTTGTGTAGGTGGCTACTATTTCTGTCTGATCAGTCTCCAATCCAACTTTACCAGGACCTTGGGTTTATGAAGGAGGACCATTCTTTCCTGCCACCCCCCTCCCAGACCCCTCCCCCTTTACTGAATGGTTTGGGTGGGGCTGGCACCACCTTGGGACCCATGGGACCAAGACCTGGTTAGTTTTGGTATGAGCGCCCCAGCTGTAGGGGTTGCATCAGGGACAGTTGTATGGCCAAGCCTAAGGGCCAGTGAGACTCGGACTTGAGTTGTTTACTGAACGTACGTGAGAAGAGGTGTTTTTTTCATGCTGAGGCCATGGGATATAAACTCAGAAACTTTGGGGGCCATTT